TGGCCTTGAACTTACTATGCAGCCAAAGTTTCTGATCTTGAGTTTCTGACCCTCCTCCCTTTACCTTAGGGTACTGGGATCACACCCAACTCAGGTGGTTCTGGAGCCTGAATGCAGGGCCTGTATGTGTATGTGCTAGGCAAGCACCACATCAGCCAGCTACACCCAGACCCTGTCTCACCTTTTCCAACGCATCGCAGTGATCTCTCTCAGTAAAGTTGTGGGAGAGGTGATAGGAGATGGTGGTAAGAGGACCTAGTTTTTCAAAGGGCTTGGGAATGATGCTGAAATGGAATCCTTAAATGCTTATAACGTAAAGTCCCTTAGAGTTTGAAAAATGGATTCTGAGTCTGAATAGCTTCTATGTCTCATACAGGATGTGATTAGCGGAGGATTACTTTCTCCAAATGCTGCTCATGGAAAAGTGCTCACACCTGGGGCCTAGGAATCTGGACTGACCATGTGCTGAGTGACCCTGGCTCACCACTGGAGCATGCTGGACTTTAAACCAGAGCATGTTAGCATGTTAGCCTGGGCCATGCTTATGTTCAGCAATATAGGAGGCGTCTTATTCATTTACTTTAGATATGGTCTCACTGTGAAACCAGGCTGGCCTTGAACTCAGGATCCTCCTGCCTCAGCCTCCTGGGTGCTGGTATCACAACTGTTCCGTGTGCCTTAGGCACATGTGAAGCATCTGAAGGTTTTAAAGTTGAAGCTGCTCATCCATCATTATGAAGACAGCAAGGAGAAGGGTGATATGTGACATTTATTGGGCATTTGATATGGCTTGGCTGCATCTAAATAGTTTATTAATTCAGCCCTAGTAATAATAACTCCATGGCATAGGGATGATTCCTTCCCCCATTTTTCAGATGAGGAACTGAGGTAAGGAATGTACTCCAGGTCATGGAGATGGCAAACTGAAGGCTGGGTTTGAATGCCAGGGCTTTGGTTCTGGGGTCTGTGTAGTTTCTCCCTGTGCTGCAGGGGCCTCTTAATGGTTTATGGCCTTTCGTGATGCTTTGCCAGTGATCTATAGGTATTTGAAAATAAATGTGAAAAAAATAGACTTTGTTTTGTCTCCAGACCAATTCAATGAAAAGTCGGGATTTTATGCTGGACTTCAGTAAGGAATAGGACATATCTCTAGCACATCTGAATACTCACTTAACTGCTACATTTTTGTAGACACACACACACACACACACACACACACACACACACGCACACATTAGATCAAGGCTGGCAAGATGGCTCAGCAGGTAAAGTTACTTGCCACCGAGTCTGACAGCCTGAGTCTGATCCCTTTGATCCACATGGTGGAAGGAGACAACTTCTGCAAGTTGTCCTCTGGTGTGTGTGTGTGTGTGTGTGTGTGTGTGTGTGTGTGTGTGTGT